CTCAGAGTAATTAGGTGATGCAAAAGTGATGTGGTCCTGCTATCAAAACTCACTGGCCCGAACCTCCTCTGAGGGAAACTTCAGTCTACAACATTTGAAACCGATTTAATTGTTTGTCTTGGAAGAAGGAAGTTTCATTCATTAAGTGAGTTATTATTATAATCATAACTAAGCGCTAAATCCACAAGGGTTTATTAGATAAGGATCCTCTACCAGGACCAAATGATCTCCCCCCCCGGCCACCTCCCTCCCTCGAATGAGAGAAATTTAAAATTTAAACTTAATTTTTTTTTTTTCATTTGTTATGAGTCATACAAAGATTGCAGTGGATGTACAGTGATACAAAATTTAAATCCAATAATAGGCACTAAACAATCATTAATTATGCAGTGCATCTCAAGCAATCATAAAACATACCACTTGGTGTATTATTTAAGTCAGTTTTGTTATTACTATTATCATCCGGGGAAGCGCTAAAGCCATTGGAGTCACGCAGTTTGAGGAATAGGACACAGTCGGGAAGTGAACAGGTCCAATTCCTTGGATTAAGAGCCACTCATCTAGCATCAAGTGGTATTATATTCACAAGAGGCAACTAACCTGATCCAAATGATAATTTGTGGCCTTTGTAACGACTGGATTTTTTTTTGTATTACTCTTTACACATTATTATTACCTTATATTATAATCATAACCAAGCGCTACACCCGTAAGGGTCATACAGCACTTATTACAATATTAAAATATTCGTGGTGAAGCACTAAACCTGTATGGATCGTACAACACCTATATTATTATAATAAAAAAGAAGCGCTAAGCCACAAGGGCTATACAGCACAGCACCTATAAATGGGAGTAACTAGGTTAATCTGAAATGGAAGCTCCATTGCCTCACATCAAGAGCCCTTCATCAGCGTCCAAACACTTGCCTTTCAAAGAGTCATACTACCCCTTGGGAATTCCAGGTACGTACCCCTCAAGGAAGGTTCCTTGATGTTGGTGAGGGGCTCTTGATTTAGGGAATTGGATCTGTGCTCCAGTTCCCCGAATTAAGCCTGAATGCCTTCCACATCCCCCCCAGGCGCTGTATAATCCTCCGGGTTTAGCGCTTCCCCCTTGATTTTAATAATAATCCAGGTACGTAATTAGGTCTGATCCATTTTGGGGAATGTAGTTTTATTTCCCTAATTTTTATTTGCCAGTCCAGTTCCTTACATCAAGAGCCCTCACTTGCATCAAGGAACCCTTCATGAGGGTGGGGAGTGTTAACAAGACTGGGTATATTAATGATCTTAAACCTCATCCAAGGAAATTATTAAGGTAGTCAGATTATTATTATATTATTATAATCAAAGGGGAAGCGCTAAACCTGGAGGATTATACAGCGCCTGGGGGGGGATGTGGAAGGCATTCAGGCTTAATTCGGGGAACTGGAGCACAGTTCCAATTCCCTAAATCAAGAGCCCCTCACCAACATCAAGGAACCTTCCTTGAGGGGTTGGTAGTCAGAAAAAGGTCAAAAGAAAGCCAGGAAAAGTGGGCCACCTTTCACAGGCCATAAACTTTCAGTACCGTCCTTGATATAAGTAGTAGTAGTATTATCAGGGGGAGCGCTAAACCCATAGGGATTATACTGTGCCTGTGGGGGGAAGAATTCGGGGAATTGGAGCAAAAATCCAATACCCTAGATCAAGAGCCCATCACCAGCAACAGGGAACCATCCTTTAGGGGTCCTTGATATAACAGACTATAAATACAGATTATTATTATTATTATAATCAAGGGGGAAGCGCTAAACCCGGAGGATTATACAGCGCCTGGGGGGGGATGTGGAAGATATTCAGGCTTAATTCGGGGAACTGGAGCACAGATCCAATTCCCTAAATCAAGAGCCCCTCACCAACATCAAGGAACCTTCCTCGAGGGGCCTATAAATACAGAACAAAATCTGCTGGGATAATTCAGAAACAAAGGATGAAGTCTGTTGCTCACAGAAGTATCCATTATTGTTACTGTCACAGCAAAACAAGCATTATTATCCACTACAACTGTCATTACTGGCTACCTGTTCCCCCCTGTATTTCTTAATTGACAACACTTAGCCACAGGTTCCAACTAAAGCCATCTGAGGCACACATCTGGAGGAGGGACCCATTTTTATTATTGTACATGCATGGGACATCAGAGGCAATCAATGTTACCTGAGAGAGGAGTTTCAGTGTAGCTTTGAGGACTACTGAATTATTTTCACGAGGACATACTAAACCTATATAACTATTATATTTAATTTTTATTTTATTCACAGGGAGGTGCTAAACCTGTGGGGTCACACAGCACTTTGGGAATTATAATAATCAGAGGAAAGCACTAAACCCCTAGGCGTTATACAGTACATGGGGAATAAGATAAGATAAGATTTCGTTCGGATTTTTAACCCCGGAGGGTTAGCCACCCAGGATAACCCAAGAAAGTCAGTGCGTCATCGAGGACTGTCTAACTTATTTCCATTGGGGTCCTTAATCTTGTCCCCCAGGATGCGACCCACACCAGTCGACTAACACCCAGGTACCTATTTGCTGCTAGGTGAACAGGACAACAGGTGTAAGGAAACGTGTCGAAATGTTTCCACCCGCCGGGAATCGAACCCTGGCCCTCCGCGTGTGAAGCGGGAGCTTTAGCCACCAGGCCACCGGGCCATCAGGTTCAGATCTAGGAAGATGAGGACACAGGTTCATTTCCTGGATCAACAGCCACTCACCAGTATCAAGGCACCTCTCTTGAGGGGGGCAAACCTGTAAAGTTATTCAGCACTTGAGAAATGGGAGGTAATCAGGTTTGATCCAACAAAAGGAAGGATAGTGTCAATCTTCAGATCATGAAAGAGCCCCATACCCAACTTGCAGACAGTAGTTACCCCGTTTCCATCCTGTGGGCAATAGTCAAAACTATTACTGTATTAATATATTCGTAGGGAAATGTTGAACATATGTACATGTATATAATTACATTCATATGAAAACACTAAATGTGTAGAGGGTTGTACAGCATGTGGAAAGTGGGAGGCATTCAGGTTCGATCCATGGAAGGAAAAGGAAGGTCCAATTCCTTAGATTAAGAACCCCTCACTAGCACCAAGGAATCTCCCTTGACGGGAGGCATGATGTAGTGCCCTGGAATGGATGATCATTAGATTTGATCCAAGGAATGGAAGGACAATTTCAGTTTCTTGGATCAAGAGCTTTACACTAGTATCAAAGCTCCCCCCACCCTCCTTGGAGGCTGTATTTTTTCTTTTCTAGCGAAATGTAGGGGACTGGGCCCCTACATTATTAGATAAGCAAATTATAGTATGGTGATGGCCTGTTTACAATAATGGATTCAGCTCCAGGATTATTACATTCACAAGAAGCTCTAAACCTATAAGGGGTCATACAGCTTGTAAGGGTCATGTACCACCTGAGGAATGGGAGGATTACATCTTTTCCTTGGATTAAGAGGCCCTCATCAGCATCAAGACACCTCCTGGAGTAGTCAGGAAGGATAACTTTATTTCTCCGTATCACAAGCCTTTCTCCAACACACACACACACACAACTATATCTAAAGGACTGAGCAAAGACTTTCTTACAATTGGATTACAATTGTTCAGTTATAAGTACAGTACAGTGGAACCCCAGATTTCGTCTGCACCGGATATCGTACGATTCAGATTTCGACCACTTTTTGTGGCGAAATTTTGCTCCAGATTTTGTACCTCGTCCCAGAAATCATCCGTATCAGATGCGTCCGTCCGCCTAGAACACCGCCACTCATGCGTACATGTCTCAGTCTGGCTCTGGCACTGGTTGAGTGAGCAGTCATCCGAAACATTTTGTAATCATTGTTTTTGTGCTTGTTTATTGAGTGCGACTGTGAAATAAGCCACCATGGGCCCAAAGAAAGTTTTTAGTGCCAGCCTTTTGGTAAGGAAGGTGAGAAACACGATAGAATTAAAGAAAGAAATTGTAGAAAAATACGAATGTGGGGTACATGTGGCTGAGCTCGCCAGGATGTATGGCAAGTCCAAATCAACAATCAGTTCCATCCTGGCAAAGAGAGTACAAATCAAGGAAGCTGATGTTGCAAAAGGGGTAAATATGCTAATGAAACAGAGATCACAAGCAGTGATTAACAACATTTGTGCAAAGTGGAATGAGGTGAAAACTTTTGTGGAAAAATATCACCCTGACCAAGCTGATACAAGCTGTAACTGCAACATGTTCAGTGACAATACCTTGTCCCATTTTAGGCAAATATTAAAGACACCAGAAACAGAACTCTCTGGACAAATTTTTAGTGCAACAGGGGTCCAGTGCCAGTAAAAGACAAAAGTAAGTAACCCTGGATAGGGCTTTGATACCTGAAGTCCTTATGGAGGGGGATTCCCCTTCCAAACAATAACCTCTGCTCCTCCTCCCTCCCCCCTCCTCACCATCCATACCCCAGCAAGAGTCTTCAATAAAGATAAGTGTGATGTTAAATGTTCATTTATCCATTTCATTAGTCATTTATATTTCTTTCTCATTGTTTTCTGTCTGTAAAACTATAGTTATTCTTTAAAAAAATGTATTTTTTGTTAATATTTTTTGGGTGTCTGGAACAGATTAATTGTATTTGCATTATTTCTTATGGGAAATATTGCTTTGGTTTTTGTCCATTTCGGATTTACACCAACCTTCTGGAATGGATTAAGGACAAAATCCGGGGTTCTACTGTATTTGCAAAAGGCCAAGTGATGGTTACAGTATTTGTCTAAAAATTACATTTATTGGTATTCTCCAGAATTCTTATTATTTCAATCACAGAGAGGAATGCTAAAGCCACTGGGGTTATACAGCATCTGGGAAAATGCCACAAAATATTTAGAGCAGGAGAAAAAGAATTATTGCTTGGTGCCCCAATCAGGATTTGTTAAGCCATTTATGGGAGTCATACTAGTGGTAGGTTAAAAAAAAAAAAAATCATCTTTTACTAATTATTAATTTTTGTCAAGCATAAATACTCATAAAATGCATAATGAAGTTCAACAAACAATTTATGACTGCCACTTTGCTAGAATGAAGTTACAAGTTTTCAAGAAAATGTTAGATGGACTGCTATCTTGTGAGCCTGTGGACAGCCAACACAAATAGCCTGGTAGACTAAGCAGTCAACAGGAGAGCCTGGTTTTAGGCCAGACTGCAGAGGTAGAAAAAGCCCTTGAAATCAGTTACAGGTAAACACAGGTATGATAATGAACTTCAACATCACTTGGCAGTCATTATGAATACACACGATTCATTTAAATATTTTAAATTATTAATTCGTACATTCATGGTGGGTAAATTTCTTACTTCATATTTTCTTCCCATGGAATATAAATTTAATTATTTTAGCAACATACTATATGTCAAAGAACACTGAAGAGCCCAATACAATTACACTTGTAAATTTTTTGATTAACTTAATATACTCTTTTTTTTAGGCTTAAGGCACAGAATATTTACTTCATAAAGACTCTTTGGAAAGTTTGGTTGCTTTGTATTTTTCAGAATTTTGAGTTCTGCCCGTTCGATAATGTCTAAAAGTTGGCGTTCTGGTCGAGTCACAGACGAATCTTCTTCATCCAACTCTACTTTACCAGAAGAAGTAACATTTTCCTTGACCACAATTACTCCACAGGGTTTTAGTCCATAAGCCATTCTCCTAAAAAAGTCTTCCAAATCTGCATCAGTCAAGTGTCCCAAAACCCACTGACACCACACAACATCATAAGTGTTAGGCCTAGGTGAAAAATGCTGGAGGCCTTGACACAAAAATTCACCAATTTTCTTGGAACCCTTGAAGTTCTCCTTTGCTCTGTCTAAAAAATTCTGACACTGCTCAACAAGATCGACTTTACCAAAATGTTTTTGCAGTAAATGTTTGGTAATTCTGCCAATTCCTGCACCACAGTCAACAGCTCGTCCATGTCCAGGAGGATTTTTCATCTTAAACACACTTCGTAAAAATGTGTCAGAGCCACTTATATCAGCTAAATTAAGATGAGCAAACCCTCCAAGCATACCATTGACTGTGGCAGGAACACTGTCCCAGTAAGCTGCTGCGTCAGAGTAAAATGCCGGGTCCTCTTGAGCCACAATAGCCTTGAGTGAAGAGTCCTCTTCATTTTCATCCTGCTTATGCTTTAAACATCCAGTAAGCTCTTCCATTGTAACAGCTTTGGCGACCCAGGTGGCAGCCTCCAGAGCTTGAAGAGTCCCTCACTGACGTTACACACAAGTAAACCACACATAAATAAGTGGGTGGAGCTAATTTTGTGTATGGATGTGAGAGAAGAGCAGCCCAGGCAGCTAGAGGAGTAACTTGAGTAAAGGAACCAAGCAGCAGCAGCAGCAGCAGCAGCAGCAAGAGGCAGCAGCAACAGCAGCAGCAGAGGCAGCAGCAACAGCAGCAGCAGAGGCAGCAGCATGGACGACCATGTAAACAAACACAGCTGTCTCAGTCTATACATCTTATAAAAAAAAATTAAAAAACTATTTGCATCTTAGATAAAATCCATCTAAATAAATGTGCTTAAATGTTTACGTGATTCAATATTTTCCATTTTACCGGTTGGTTTAGGCTGAGAAAAATTCTGTGGCTTTCTTATTTCTTAACTAAAGATGTTATGGTCGAGAATATTCTGTGAGGTAAACCCAAAACACTGATGGTATCTATTGTTTCTCCGTGATGGAATACATCACCTTGCAGTAAGTGACTACCTCACCCATATCCCTCTTTCATGTTATACTTCACTACAATCCATGTATGATGACATTCTCCACTGTTGTTATGTCAGCCTCCACCCGTCCCTCTGGTCCTGATGTTAGTATGTTATGTGACTAGTTCTCTCCCTCGCTGGTGTTAGTATGTTATGTGACTAGTTCTCTCCCTCGCTGATGTTATTATGTTATGTGACTAGTTCTCTCCCTCGCTGATGTTAGTATGTTATGTGACTAGTTCTCTCCCTCGCTGATGTTAGTATGTTATGTGACTAGTTCTCTCCCTCTCTGATGTTAGTATGTTATGTGACTAGTTCTCTCCCTCGCTGATGTTAGTATGTTATGTGACTAGTTCTCTCCCTCGCTGATGTTATTATGTTATGTGACTAGTTCTCTCCCTCGCTGATGTTAGTATGTTATGTGACTAGTTCTCTCCCTCGCTGATGTTATGTTATGTGACGTTCTCTCCCTCGCTGATGTTAGTATGTTATGTGACTAGTTCTCTCCCTCGCTGATATTAGTATGTTATGTGACTAGTTCTCTCCCTCGCTGATGTTAGTATGTTATGTGACTAGTTCTCTCCCTCGCTGATATTAGTATGTTATGTGACTAGTTCTCTCCCTCGCTGATGTTATTATGTTATGTGACGTTCTCTCCCTCGCTGATGTTATTATGTTATGTGACTAGTTCTCTCCCTCTCTGATGTTATGTGACTAGTTCTCTCCCCCTGATGTTAGTATGTTATGTGACTAGTTCTCTCCCTCTCTGATGTTAGTACGTTATGTGACTAGTTCTCTCCCTCTCATGTTAGTATGTTATGTGACTAGTTCTCTCCCTCTGATGTTACTATGTTATGTGACTAGTTCTCTCCCTCTGATGTTACTATGTTATGTGACTAGTTCTCTCCCTCTGATGTTATCATGTTATGTGACTAGTTCTCTCCCTCTCTGATGTTAGTATGTTATGTGACTAGTTCTCTCCCCCTGATGTTAGTATGTTATGTGACTAGTTCTCTCCCTCTCTGATGTTAGTATGTTATGTGACTAGTTCTCTCCCCCTGATGTTAGTATGTTATGTGACTAGTTCTCTCCCTCTCTGATGTTAGTATGTTATGTGACTAGTTCTCTCCCTCTGATGTTACTATGTTATGTGACTAGTTCTCTCCCTCCGATGTTACTGTGTTATGTGACTAGTTCTCTCCCTCTGATGTTACTATGTTATGTGACTAGTTCTCTCCCTCTGATGTTACTATGTTATGTGACTAGTTCTCTCCCTCTCTGATGTTACTATGTTATGTGACATTCTCTCCCTCTCTGATGTTATGCTATGTGACTAGTTCTCTCCCTCTCTGATGTTACTATGTTATGTGACTAGTTCTCTCCCTCTGATGTTATTATGTTATGTGACTAGTTCTCTCCCTCTCTGATGTTACTATGTTATGTGACTAGTTCTCTCCCTCTCTGATGTTGGTATGTTATGTGACTAGTTCTCTCCCTCTCTGATGTTGGTATGTTATGTGACTAGTTCTCTCCCTCTCTGATGTTGGTATGTTATGTGACTAGTTCTCTCCCTCTGATGTTACTGTGTTATGTGACTAGTTCTCTCCGTTTGATGTTACTATGTTATGTGACTAGTTCTCTCCCTCTCTGATGTTACTATGTTATGTGACTAGTTCTCTCCCTCTCTGATGTTACTATGTTATGTGACTAGTTCTCTCCCTCTGATGTTACTATGTTACCTGGAGTTTACCTAGAGAGAGTTCCGGGGGTCAACGCCCCCGCTGCCCGGTCTGTGACCTGGCCTCCTGGTGGATCAGAGCCTGATCAACCAGGCTGTTGCTGCTGGCTGCACGCAAACCAATGTACGAGCCACAGCCCGGCTGATCAGGAACCGACTTTAGGTGCTTGTCCAGTGCCAGCTTGAAGACTGCCAGGGGTCTGTTGGTAATCCCCCTTATGTATGCTGGGAGGCAGTTGAACAGTCTCGGGCCCCTGACATTTATTGTATGGTCTCTTAACGTGCTAGTGACACCCCTGCTTTTCATTGGGGGGATGTTGCATCGTCTGCCAAGTCTTTTGCTTTCGTAGTGAGTGATTTTCGTGTGCAAGTTCGGTACTAGTCCCTCTAGGATTTTCCAGGTGTATATAATCATGTATCTCTCCCGCCTGCGTTCCAGGGAATACAGGTTCAGGAACCTCAAGCGCTCCCAGTAATTGAGGTGTTTTATCTCCGTTATGCGCGCCGTGAAGGTTCTCTGTACATTTTCTAGGTCAGCAGTTTCACCTGCCTTGAAAGGTGCTGTTAGTGTGCAGCAATATTCCAGCCTAGATAGAACAAGTGACCTGAAGAGTGTCATCATGGGCTTTGCCTCCCTAGTTTTGAAGGTTCTCATTATCCATCCTGTCATTTTTCTAGCAGATGCGATTGATACAATGTTATGGTCCTTGAAGGTGAGATCCTCCGACATGATCACTCCCAGGTCTTTGACATTGGTGTTTCGCTCTATTTTGTGGCCAGAATTTGTTTTGTACTCTGATGAAGATTTAATTTCCTCGTGTTTACCATATCTGAGTAATTGAAATTTCTCATCGTTGAACTTCATATTGTTTTCTGCAGCCCACGGAAAGATTCGGTTGATGTCCGCCTGGAGCCTTGCAGTGTCTGCAATGGAAGACACTGTCATGCAGATTCGGGTGTCATCTGCAAAGGAAGACACGGTGCTGTGGCTGACATCCTTGTCTATGTCGGATATGAGGATGAGGAACAAGATGGGAGCGAGTCTGTGCCTTGTGGAACAGAGCTTTTCACCGTAGCTGCCTCGGACTTGACTCTGTTGACGACTACTCTCTGTGTTCTGTTAGTGAGGAAA